GGTTTTTAAGGAAACCAGATGGGTTGAATTGTTTCTCACCAGTTCAATTGTAAACCAGTGATAAAAGGGACATCTAAAACGACTAAATACCGAATCATAGATCCTGTAGGGTGGCGACTGCTAAGAATCCACTTGCAAAAGAAAATCTCCTTTCAAACTTAATAGTAGTTAGAGATGAAAAAAATGTTCAAGCAACACAATCAGGATATAGTCAAAAGAAATAAAGATTTCACACCATGAAGATATATCAATCAAGATCTTCTTATACATCCAATCCGAATGATATCGAACATGTTCTTAAACCCTGAAAGAAAACACATCACTTTGTTTCTTGAAGACATCAGTGCTGCACCCAGAGCTGCAATGAACCCAGTAAGACCTGAGATTTGAGTGATGCCGAAGACTCTGGATAATGTCAATAGAAGAATGGAAGATGGATTGAGGATCCCTGCAGCTATTAGTACTAATCTCTGTCGCAGTTACAGATACAAGGTTAACATTATGAATAAGTTAGAAACTGCTGCATGCTAAACCCAAAATTGAACATCCCTCTACCACGCCTAAAGCTCTTCAATTTACGCCTTTCCGCTCCCATTGCATCCTTGAGGGAGATGAAGCTTAAAACATGTGCGCTGACTTCAGTTCGCCAAGGTCCCATTTTCTTCAATTCTCTGAAAGTTCTTTTCTTAGGACTAAAAGAAACTAGAGAGTCAGAAGCAGATAAAAAGCACAAATCCCCATTACTCAGAAATTTAATGGGCCGATGCAAATCCTCAACTTGCAACTTGCAATAGAATTTCACGTCAATGCTAAATTCTTTAGCCCAGGAATCTTTAACGCCATATTCTTTCATTACCCATGCCTCAAACTGAGCATCCTCATAAATATAGCAGAGACAAAGGCATTCTCTTAGTACTCCAATATTGATCCAAGAGATATTTTTAACATAGTGCAGGCTAAAGTGAGGTGGTGGTGGGAGGAGCCTGAACTGTTCTGTCTCCAAGTCAAATGAACTTATAAGCTCAGAAGGTTTTTGGCTGGCAGCTATCCAATGAAGTGCCCCGTTCACAAAAGGATCAAATGGTTGCTGTTTCAGCCAGGCAGGATTCTCAATCCTTCTCCATGAATTCGAACCAAGAGTATGTATGTCTGCCACCATTCCACTAGAATGTATGGAGTTGAGAGGATCAACAGATGTCGGACACAAGAAACGGATGACCTTGTACTGCTTGGTTTTTGAACAGAAGCCAAATGCCGAGTAATTTGAGTAAATATAACTTGGCGTCGATTCAGCAAGATGAGGAAGTTCTGTGTATTCCCGAAGAATAGGATTGCAAATACTGTAGAAAGGTTTCGAGGGTGAATTACAGTACAAACAAAGCAGTCCATTACATGAACCAATAAAAGCAAGATTTTTGCCGCGAAACGAGAAATCAGCATTTATCCTGCTTAATGGATGTAGATGACGGAAATGAGAATGACTTATCCTATCGTCACTGCAGCATGAAGACAAATCGGCTTCACCAAGATCAAATGTATAGAAATACAGATATCCCCATTTGCTCCCATGTTTTTGAAGAATCAGATTGCTAGTTGTGGCGAGAGCTCTAGCCAGGTGCACTTTGGCAAAATAGGGATCCTTGAGCAGTTTAAGGATCGTCTTGCAAACAGACCTACAGCACAATATATCCTTTAAGGGAAGTCTTGAAAGGATATCAACTATTATATGAACAGGCAACTCAAGGATAGGAAGTTTTATTCCACTTGTTGATGTAGCAGAAGAAGCAGCAGTCTGGATGCAGCGTCGTTCAACTGTCCAGTTTTTACAATTTTCTTCACTAATTGTATTTCCAAGTCGCCTTTTGCGTCCACGCAACTCCATTCTCCGCCTTCTAGCTCAGAACTCTGTACCGCAAAAGAGGGACAATTGAAATTGTGGAATTAAACGTCCCCTACAACCTCCTCTCCACCAGTAAACATATTAGTAATCACTAATCACATCTGATATCTAACTACGTGGAACTTTAATGATGTGATCTTTTTTCCAAAACAGACGCATATATTTTCCAAATCCGACATGGGTTAGAATTGAAATTCATAAAATCATTTCATTTATCCAAATCTAAAAACGCAAACCCAATTATAATTTTCCAATTTTCACCAAAATTATTTTTTCTTTGAAATCACAGTCAATCTCATCTTCGTAACTAAATTAACTCAATTTTAAACCATTTCACGATAGTAATCACAACTCTAAATGCTTCATCAAGTAGAATAATCAAAATTCAAAATCGAATCAAGGGATCACGTCTTTAAGATCAATCACACACACACATATATATATATATATATATATATGTGCATACACAATAAAAAAGGAAAATGAGAACTTGCCATGAAAAGAAAGAATTTCTCACCGCTCGTCTTTTCAGTATCTTGCTCGCCACATGAACCCTAATTCTTATAGCTAAAGAGAAAATCGATGAATTGTATAAAGAAGAGTGAGGGAGAGGATGACCTCATGACCCAAGTAATAGAGTCGTAGGCACATCAGATCGACACGGAAATATATGAGATTTTATGCAGACAAAATAAATGGGCTAGACTTTTGTTGAAACCTAGTCTTGGGTTAGACATCTTTTTTAAAGAGATAATTGACACAAATAGCATTAGACACAGATGAAAACGAATTATAATACTTTATTGCGTGCATTGTCTATTTTTCTTTTTCCAGTTTGACCAAATTCTATCTAATGAACTTGAATACGAAATATAATTACAAACTTGAAACTTGCGGAGATCGAAAAGAATTTATGAACTTTGGGAATTGACATGTTTACGTAGAAATAATTATGATTTTGTTCGTGACGACTTTCTCAAAAATTATTTAAGTTTTTGGATGAGTTGTCGAGCTTATCAGTTTTCCCCGTCAAGTTGAATTTGTGAACAAAGAATCCAAGCCCCTAAAAGAAATGGAAAGAATTCGTTTCTTCCTCGGATTTATGGGTCGGCACCAAACACTTTTCATCGAAGGATTACTATTACTATATTTGTAGGAATTCTTCGAAATTATTGATCTATAATTTTTCAATTTTGAATTTTCGGCTTGTCAATAAATAGTAAGAACTTTATCTCCCAAGGATATTTTTTATTTTTATTATTTTTTCTATATCTTCTTGACTCGAGGTACACTTAGTATGGGGTGGGGCCCGTGCTACAATAGCGCGGGTCCCACCCCTCTCACATTATGTACACCTTTATGTGTATTGCTATGTACATATAGCAATATTCTTTCTAATTTATCTACTCGGAGTGATACCATAATCCTAAGTCGAGAAATTTATTACATTTATTTATCTTGACTTTATAGTGCATATATTTAGTTGTGGTCGATCTTCTAACAATTTATATAATAAAAAAAACTCTTTATACTAGTATTTAGACCCTGATTCATCTCCATTTTTTTCAAAATATATGTTCTATCTCTTCTTTTCAAGCATACGTTTTTCAATAAAATAATATTACGCACAATTCAAAAAAGAATTCATTCATTTTTAACCACACATTTTTCGTCAATCTATCACTCTAAAATGCATTTTATATCAAATTCGAGGCTCAAACAACTCTTTAGTATGTACAATCAACTATCAAAGCAGTCCTCGAAAAGGATGCAACCGATATTTTTCTCTCACTTCACATTTTCTAGCAAATCAATAATCGTAATTTACAAGCCCTTTCTTGCATTCTAACGGAAAACAAATAGAGTGAATCTAGATTTTTTCGTCTTGTTTAATAAAAGAACAATGTTATTTATAGTGAAGATTATCGATAATTATCTTATGTGACATATACATGGCGTTTATTATGTGATGTATGAAATAATAAAAAAATAACACATTAATGCATTAAATAATAAACTCCACCAGGGATGAATGAGAAATATATGCAATGAGGAGCAAACAGGCAAGTGTCCTTTACATGCATATCTACATAGAATGGGTTTGGAGGTCAATTCAAGCCAAAAGTGATGCGCCATAACAAGTCACACAAGCTCTCAACAAAGGCACATCAATCAAAATTCCACAAAAGACATGGATTTATTAGGAAAGGTATCAATATGTTGCCAACAAAACCGTTAAGAGTACAAATGAAACGACTTTTAAGTGAGCAAAACTATAACAAGTCCATTTATCGCAAAACAAGATGCGCCCAAAGTTTATTTCAAAATACAATGTATAAAGACATATTCATCTCCATCGGTATGTATCCTACCACATTTGTTGTTGGTTGTAATCGGGGGCGGGCCCAGATCATATGTCTTGTGGAGTCAAAAATGAGAA